TATACTCTTCCAACTGAGGTCCAACAGAAGACGTAATTATTTTTCTTCGCGAAATCTCTCCCAGCTTCATACAACTGCCTCGTTTTTTGTGGTAAGTTGTCCGAGATGTAAATAGATTTTGCCGGTCCGTCCATTGAAATATCTTTTGTATTCAGCTTATTGTTGCCATGAGTTTTGTTGAATTTTTTAAGGTTTGAGATAAATTTATCCTTCGTAAGGCAGCTCGTAAAGTTTGCTATAATTGGCTTATTTCCCTCGTTTTTAGTATTAATTCTATATATATTTTTCACGTCTGACTGTTGAAGTGTTGAACCCAGGACTCCACCTGTTTTTATAAGAATATTTAATAAATCATCCTTGGTTTCATGAGTTTCCTTTGGGACGTTGCGTAATTCAATTTTCGTAGCATGGGTTTCACGCGCGAATTTCTCTTCTAATTCTTGAATACGCTTATAGTAAGCACTGTCTTGCTTTTCTAGGTTGTGTACTTTTTCCAAAAGCGAATCGTATTTATCAGACACAAAATTAATTGAATGACGTATTTCCTCGTTCTGTCGTTTAATCTCCCCCATAAGTTCAAGATTTATGGAATATTTACTGTCTTGCTCATTTTTGAAAGACGTAAACAATGATAGAAATTTGTCATAAATCATACTTAATTCATTAGAAGTATCATTACTATGTTTTCTTTTCCTTGGAGCGGTGTTTATATAATTACTCCTTTTCGGAGGTAGTATTTATATTTGGTTCGGATTCGCAATGTTGTAAGTTTTTTCGGCGCGCCGATGAAGACGCCTGCAACTGCGAGCGGTTAAGCGGCATTACGGAAAGTACCAGGCAAGTATAGATTAAAAGTTAGTTGTCGCAGATCTTACGCTTATATGATTAAGTATTGTTATCCTCGTTCCTCGCGGTCGGCTAGGGGTGCGTTCCGTCCAGTATATGTTGAGATTACACGGTGCGTGCGTATTAATACAATGATGTAATGAATGGACTCACTGTCTCTGTGTGCGTTCGCGCTGCCGTTTGTGTACACGTTGTGACGAATCGGTAATTAAGAACACCTCCTTACGCTTATGATATTTTATTATTTTAATTTTAATTTTCACAACAGAATTAAATTTATTTTATGATTGGGACAGAAAGTAATTCACACGTCTATACTCTTTCGAGGCCCAAAGGGGAGACAAATAATACGTGGTAGAGCCATGCTGCAGCTATATTAGTAGTATAGTTGTAGCACGAATGGGTCGGCTTGACCGGGAAACGACCGCGCTCTCACAGAATACCAGCGTAAAATGGTAGCTCAATGCTGCTGTGTTTCTTATGGTAAATATAGAGAACCGGAAACCTTTTTTACTGGAAACGAGGCATTCGATCTTAGTCTTCACGGATGACAATGCATTTGCATTTTGATTCGTAATCGGTGATAGGTGTAGATATTCATGCACCACAGTAACCACTTACCACAGGTGGATTGTGTGCTCGTTTGTCACCATTCTTCTATAAAAAATAATATATATAGTACGTAAAGCAAAGATTAACACTTAACACTTAGCGTAACGTGAGCTTAAAAGTAAATCAGCTAATAATCAGATTATCCGGCATTAAGTATCATGTAGTGAGACCCAAGCTATAAAAAAAAGAGATCTTTGATCGAGATTTGAAGAGATTATCTTACGGGGTATTCAAAAAATAAATTAATGTCTTTTTATGTATTTATTGTACAACTATATGATAATATATATTTAATATCCGCAATGTACATGAGACAGTAAAAAACTCTACAAACTGACATAAAATATGAATACTAGTATACTGGTTTACATTACATTGAAAATCTAACTTATACCAAAGTCAGGTAATAGTTTATGAACTAGATCGATGTTGCCATTATTTTATTTTAACTTATTTAGCTTCCCGTGTATTAGGGGCGAATATAATCCACAACCCCATATCGTCTCACGGTTGTTGTAAGAGGTAAATGATGGAAATGAAACAGGAGATGAGGATCGAACAGTAGCATCTTTCTGTAAGCAACTCAAAATAGCAACATGAAACCTGCGGTTGTCAAACCGACTGTCAAGCGAGGCAACTTTGGCATAATCCACTTATGAAACTATAGGCGAGGACTATAAAAATCAGTGGAATTTTAGTCGGTTTTAATGAAGGAATAGCTTTTCTCTAGAAGTAAATCGTGTACCCGGCGAATACTTTTTATGAATATACGTGAAAAAAGAGCACACATTCCACTTGATGGTAAGTTGATGCTGTGGCATATTACATCTACATCTATTTTCAATTAACAAACAAAATGGAGATGATTTCTCACACTTGAGGACTAAGATAAAATGCCTCATTTCCAATAATAAGGCGATGTAAGTAGTGGCATAATAAACTTCATTACTAAAGATTTTAAGAATTAATTCGCACACAACCGCGCAAAAAATAAAATGACGTGTCTAACCTAGATTAAAGAGTACCTCCTGCCCTCCCTCAATTGCGTGCACTAATCCCTTCATCAATAAAACCAGCACCACTACTCGCAACACCACCACACCAGGAAAGACACACTAACCACGATAATATGACTCGGGTTTCGCCTCTACACGAGGCATCCTCAGAAGATGTAGACTAGTAGGCAGCGGTAGCTGACCGCTATGTGATCGACGCGCCGAAACAGCTGCTATTTATATAACTCACTGACGTAACCATTCTTCACTAAAGTAAACGTCATGCGATAAAAAACGACGGGTTGCACTCCAGGAGTGCCGGCAGAAGTGAAAACTTGAATATTAACGTTGCGCATTTTTGATATTTTGGAATGGTTAGGGAATAATTTTGCACGAATTGCTTTAATAATCAGTATAAAAGTACTATCATTTATATGGTAGAATACAATATTTATTTATTACGCTATTGTACACAAACATGACAATTTATATTACATTGAAAAGTTTATCTCTCAGAAAAGTCTACTCTCCATCCGTCTTACGAATTTTCGATCAGGTCACGTGTCATGACGCGAGTTTAACATTTTTTACCCATTACGTCGCTAAAAAGTTTTCACTTCAACATGCGATCAACCACCATCTAAGATACGCAGCCGTATGTTGTAAAAATAGTAAATAAGAAACCGCCGTAAAACGTCCAACCACGCAATGAATCGCTGATCACCGCGAGGGTGATGAACGATCATATTGCAAGGCTATTTTTTATTAGAGAGCATGGTTAATAAGGGTGAGTTGGAAACATTCGTTTGTTCATTCAGCAGTGCAATGTTACTATTTTTTTATATCTTTAACTGTTCCAGCACACATAGTCACAGCAGCAGGTATGTAAGGCTTTAAAGGAGTGGTCGTTGGCTAAGTTGTGTTCAGTGTTCAAGAGATGTTTAGCAAAATGGGATTTGAGGTGCTCTTTAAAATTAGGTAAGGCACATAATTTTATTTTATTCAGCAGAAGTGTGCGAATTAATTCTTAAAATCTTCAATAAAATGAATTTCCGCAAAGTAACGCCTGATTCTATTAATTTGACACTACTACCTCATACCATCCCATGTGTGCCATAAGAGGTGATAGGGTAATATGAATGATTTAAGGGCAACTGTACCTTTATTGATAATAGCGACTCAAAATAATGTAAAAGTTTGTGTCAACTCGCCTGCAGGCGTGACAAAATAATATATGTTTAGCAGTAGAATTTCGATAGTCTGTAATAGAAGAATAAATAAATGAAAGAATAAACCTTTTGGACGATTTACGAATGTTTTATTTATTTGTCAACTGTTCAGCTGTTATTGGCGCAGAGAGCGACTTATTTGTAAAAGGCTTTTATGATGCGTTCGAGAAAGTTTGTGTAAACCTTTTAGCTACACATGGCGAGTGATATGAACGTTCCTTCAACATTTTATATTGAACGAAGAGCAATATCCAGCGTATTATAATATTATTGTTTGGATTAAAGGAAGTGATTGGATTTTTAATTCAGCAATATTTTATTTAATACAGGACACGCAAATGTCGTACTATTTTTTATATGATTTAATTGTATTTTAAGGTTTTCCTTATTTATCAAATATTTTTCTGTTGTGGTAACACCAATGTAACAATCTTTAAAAATTTTACTGTATCAAATATTACAAAAATGAAACGATAACTGAACTGAACATTATTAGCGAGGCAGAAGTCCACAGAATTCGTTGGTTAGCCCATCACGAAAGAATGGGAGAGGATCTAGCAGTGAAGCAAGCGCACTTAGGAGTCCCGAATTGCCGACGGCCAGTCGGTCAACCAATTACCGCTGTATGGATAAAGTAAGATAGCACGTGCGGCAACTTAAGATTTGAGACTGGCAGTCAGTACAGAATTAATGGTGTCTTTTACTGTGGGGGCAAGACTCATTTCAGGTCACTGCGTCACATTAGTAAGACCCTTAAATGCATTGTGTTGCCAAATGGCAACAATTTCATTTTCGTTAAAAAAAGTTTTGACAGGTAAACGTTTCCTGAACGAATCCTAAAAATGAACGCATAGACTATAGACAATAAAAAAAAGTTAAAACCATCATGAAACTTGGCGGTAATTCTCTATCATACGTCATTAGAGCTGAGTAAGTGTTGAAGTGTGTGTATTGGCGGGAACGAAGATATTGATTTTTAAAGTTTTTATTAAAAACTAGAGTCTGCGTGGTTAGAAAAATAAATATCAAGTTGTAAAAAAGGTAAGTTATAGGTTTTTTACACATTTATCGTCTAATTTATTTTCGATTTTATGTAAAGTTAGTTTTTCGATATGTTGCCATATGTCTACATTATGCGTTTGGTTGTTTATAACTTTTGTTTGACTCTTGTTTTTGTTATTCCTTTTTATCATGTCTCGTAAGAAGTGTGATGGAGATATCAAAGACCTTCTCAGGCGTTTAGAAAATGGGGACATCTCGGATGACGAGGAAGACATAGGGAACGAAAATGATATTGATTACTATCCAAATGTACAAGATATTTGAGTTGGATATTGACAATGATAATGAGGAAGTCGATGAAGACCCTCCACTTGTATTTGAAGAAGAACCTACCGAATCTGCTGAATCTTCGTCTGAGCAACCTACTCCAGGGCTTTCATCTCAGTACCGGGTATTTTTGGAATTGCAGCTTGGAGATCTCGCAGCAGAGAACTGATATGGAAAAAGCGTAATTTGGTATGTAATGAAGATCGTATTACCTTCTTAGGATGCTCAGAATTATCCCCAGAAATAGTCGACCTGCAAACTCCATTCCATTTTTTTCTCAATTCATGAATGACGCAATTATAAATGAATGAATAATTATAGATGACACCAATTTAAATATTGTCCAAAAGGGTGTTATCTGCGCTCCTGTTACTGTAACAGAAATACGCAAATTTTTGGGGATAATAATATTCATGTTAGTGTTTCACTATCCTAGTTTGAGATCATAGTCTAAAATGGCTTTCTTCCAATCATGCAAACCATACGGTCAACAGATTTGAAAAAATAAGATCGGTAATTCATTTTAATGACAATTCGGAACACAAACCTCTAAATCATCCTCAACATGATCATCTTCATAAACTAAGACTATTACTTGATCACCTAACCTAACTCCAAACACTAAACCTAAACTCTTCATTTGTACGTGCTGCACCATTCGAACACAGGTTGTCTTTAGTTGTACAAATGTGTGCTTCCAAGTTAGCTCATTTTATAAAGCAATATCTTCCAAATAAGCCACTCAAGTGGGGCTTCAAGTTATTTGTACTATGTTCTCTGTCAGGATAAATTTTGAAATATACTGACAAGCAAGATTTTACCCAGGCTCCAGGTTAACCAGGTCTGGGAGTGTTCAGAAATACCATCATTCGATTATGTCGTTTGATTACTCGTAAGGTAAACCATATAGTTTACATAAACACGAACGCTACACATTGAAATAATACTAATTTTTACGGAATTTATCGCGTATATTTAACTTTTTTACCCGACGTTTCGAGAGCTTTACAGCACCCATGGTCACGGGAAGGACTGAGATGTTCAACGTCCAGCTGTCATAGTTAACCGCGGTTACCATAGATTAAGATTTAACTTTTTATTCCGATCTACACAGTATGAACTTATGGTATCATGGAGTCTTGCAGTTGTATGCTTGGGTTGGGATTTAATTTTATTTATTATAGGATCCCAAGCAGATGGTAGCACCCAGCCATTTTCTCTATTGAAATTAGGATGTTTTTTGATTTCAATAGCCTCGCGAATCATCCTTGGAAGGAATCGGTGTTCTTTAGCGAGGATTTGTGGTCTATCAAATCTGATGTAGTGACGGGGCGATCCTGTACATGTTCACAGACTGCAGACTTCCCGGAGCGTCGATTCTTCACATCAGCTATATGTCCTTTGACGCGGGTTTTAATTGATCTTTTAGTTTGTCCTATGTAGGAGAGACCACATTCACAATCAAGCTTGTACACTCCTGCATCTTGCAGAGGGACGTTACACTTGACTGATGGTAAAAACTGACCAATCTTCTTCGGCGGCTTGAAGTATGTTTTGATGGAAGCGCGCTTCAAGATGTAGCCAATCTTGTCAGTGACTCCTCTAACATACGGCAGTACAGCAGGTACACGCTCGACTGTGGCCGGCTTCACTCGTTCTCTGTGACGTAGGCGCGGGACCCGAAGCTTGTTGTCATTCAAAACTTGCTTGACATGTTGGAGCTCGGCAGCCAGGTGTTTACTGTCACAGATCCCTCGTGCTCTCTGAAACAAAGATTTACCCACGGTAGCTAACTGTGAAGGATGGTGGTGAGAATCACCGTTTAAATATCTATCTGTATGGGTCTTTTTTCTATACACAGTATGGCTCAAGGTGTTATCAGGATTCCGAATTACTAACACATCTAGAAAAGCTAAGGAGTTGTTTGCCTCTAACTCCATTGTGAACTGAATTTTAGTATTTATAGAGTTAAGATGGTCTAAAAATGCAGTTACTTTATCTAAAGGTAGAATTGTGAAAGTGTCGTCTACGTACCGCTTGTAGAATCTTGGATTTATGGGAGAAGTAAGCAGGGCTTTCTCCTCAAAGTCTTCCATGAATATGTCGGCGACAATGGGAGATACAGGTGAGCCCATCGCCACACCATCTACTTGCTTGTAGAACTCCTCCTTCCACAATAGGTAGCCAGATGTAAGGCAGTGTCTGAGTAATACTGCATATTCTACGGGCATGTTGTTTTCTTCCAGCCTTCTAGTTACAATTGAGATGCAGTCTTCAACAGGTAAGCATGTAAACAATGACTGCACATCAAAACTGACCATAGTTTCATTGTCTGCCAGACGTAGGTCTTTAATCTCGCTGACAAAATGGTAGGAATCCTTTATGTGTGCTCTTGTATGTCCCCTGAGCGGTGAGAGTATTTTCGCTAAGTGTTGAGCCAATCTGTAAGTTGGTGAATCGATTTGGCTCACTATGGGGCGTAATGGAGCATTGGGCTTGTGTATTTTTGGTAACCTATACAACTTTGGTGATTTGGCGCACGTAGGTATTATCCATTTTACGTCCAGATTTAATTTTTCGGAGTGTTTCTTTATGAGGTCACTAGTTGTTTTTAGTGTGCTGTTTGTTGGGTCGTTTTTAACCTTTTTATAAGTACTTACATCCGACAAAAGTTCTTGTATTTTAGAATTATAATCTGACGTATCCATGACCACCGTGGCGTTTCCCTTATCTGCGCGGAGAATCGTAAGTTCTGGTTTATTGCGTAGGTTCTTTAACGCTATAAATTCGTCTCTGGGAAGATTCGGTTTAGGCACTGAACATCGACGTATCATAGACGAAATGTCTTGACGTATCGCCTCCAAATCTTCTTTCCGCATATTGTTTTTAAATAAACAGTCCTCGACACTACAGATAATTTCTTCGTACGGTAATCTGCTTGGAGTTATAGCGTAATTTAGTCCTTTGGATAACACCTTTATTGTTGCATCATCCAGTGTTTGTTTTGACAGATTATAGAACGCGATTAATCTATGATCTGTGTTTGTCAATGGTTGCTTTTGGTTCTGGCATTGATTCGGATGTTTGACATTTGATTTAGCCGTTAATTTTTGATATTTTTCTATATGTTTGTTTTTGCATTCGTTATATTTACTAATTTCGCGTTTATTTAATGTTTCCATGCAAAAATTATAATCAAACGCCGTTAAAAATTTCTTTAATTCACTGGATGATATGTCTATGGATTTATTTATGTCATAGAGATCGGAGCGTTTTTGTTGGATTACCGCCCGTAACAACTTTTTACTTGCCTGATTTAAGATCTTAGCGCTTCCTCGAATGTCCTTTTTTGGTGGATATTTTGACACACGTAGGAATGAGATTATGGTCTCGGCATCTCTTCAAGAAATTTAAGGCTGTTAGATATCTTGCTCGCTTAGTCTTTAGATCTTCTAATCAGCGTATTATATTTGCAATTACCAGTCCGTACTGGTTTACATAATGATTTCTTATATTTACGCGAACACTACACATTGAAATAATACTAATTTTTACGGAATTTATCGCGTATATTTAACTTTTTTGCCCGACGTTTTGAGAGCTTTACAACACCCATGGTCACGGGAAGGACTGAGATGTTCAACGTCCAGCTGTCATAGTTAACCGCGGTTACCATAGATTAAGATTTAACTTTTATTCCGATCTACACAGTATGAACTTATGGTATCATGGAGTCTTGCAGTTGTATGCTTGGGTTGGGATTTAATTTTATTTATTATAGGATCCCAATCAGATGGTAGCACCCAGCCATCTTCTCTATTGAAATTAGGATGTTTTTTGATTTCAATAGCCTCGCGAATCATCCTTGGAAGGAATCGGTGTTCTTTAGCGAGGATTTGTGGTCTATCAAATCTGATGTAGTGACGGGGGCGATCCTGTACATGTTCACAGACTGCAGACTTCCCGGAGCGTCGATTCTTCACATCAGCTATATGTTCTTTGACGCGGGTTTTAATTGATCTTTTAGTTTGTCCTATGTAGGAGAGACCACATTCACAATCAAGCTTGTACACTCCTGCATCTTGCAGAGGGACGTTACACTTGACTGATGGTAAAAACTGACCAATCTTCTTCGGCGGCTTGAAGTATGTTTTGATGGAAGCGCGCTTCAAGATGTAGCCAATCTTGTCAGTGACTCCTCTAACATACGGCAGTACAGCAGGTACACGCTCGACTGTGGCCGGCTTCACTCGTTCTCTGTGACGTAGGCGCGGGACCCGAAGCTTGTTGTCATGCAAAACTTGCTTGACATGTTGGAGCTCGGCAGCCAGGTGTTTCCTGTCACAGATCCCTCGTGCTCTCCGAAACAAAGACTTACTCACGGTAGCTTACTATGAAGGATGGTGGTGAGAATCACCGTTTAAATATCTATCTGTATGGGTCTTTTTTCTATACACAGTATGGCTCAAGGTGTTATCAGGATTCCGAATTACTAACACATCTAGAAAAGCTAAGGAATTGTTTGCCTCTAACTCCATTGTGAACTGAATTTTAGTATTTATAGAGTTAAGATGGTCTAAAAATGCAGTTACTTTATCTAAAGGTAGAATTGTGAAAGTGTCGTCTACGTACCGCTTGTAGAATCTTGGATTTATGGGAGAAGTAAGCAGGGCTTTCTCCTCAAAGTCTTCCATGAATATGTCGGCGACAATGGGAGATACAGGTGAGCCCATCGCCACACCATCTACTTGCTTGTAGAACTCCTCCTTCCACAATAGGTAGCCAGATGTAAGGCAGTGTCTGAGTAATACTGCATATTCTACGGGCATGTTGTTTTCTTCCAGCCTTCTAGTTACAATTGAGATGCAGTCTTCAACAGGTAAGCATGTAAACAATGACTGCACATCAAAACTGACCATAGTTTCATTGTCTGCCAGACGTAGGTCTTTAATCTCGCTGACAAAATGGTAGGAATCCTTTATGTGTGCTCTTGTATGTCCCCTGAGCGGTAGAGTATTTTCGCTAAGTGTTGAGCCAATCTGTAAGTTGGTGAATCGATTTGGCTCACTATGGGGCGTAATGGAGCATTGGGCTTGTGTATTTTTGGTAACCCATACAACTTTGGTGATTTACGCCCCATAGTGAGCCAAATCGATTCACCAACTTACA